CCACAGCTTCAAGTGAGGCACCATCTTTGCTTTAATACGTGGTGAGGATGATAAACTTCTCCCGAGCGGGACGCTGCAGCGCTGTGTGCCTCTATCAGTTCTGAATGATTTGCATCCTCTTAATGTATTCAACACACCCTGTCCAATCATAATCCCCCGCCTTTAGATACCCTATCACTTTTCATGCTTTAACTGGTGTTCATGGATCAGAGGCGACATTAAATAATAATTAAAAATCAAAGAAAATCTACTCATTTTTAAGATTTGGATCATTTGAGTGAATGAGTTTTAAATGATTGAATGTGCACATTGTTTATTACAAGGCAAGTTTGGCTGCAAGACAAAGTTTAAAGCTGTCTTTTTTTTATTTAAACAGTCCCTATAATTAAATGAAAAGCCTAACAAAACTTTAGGGAATGCACATCGCCCACCTGTCCTCTCATGCCTGAGTTTTAAGTTAATTTTATGTTGTGTAATGATAAAGAGAAATGATATTGCATGAGATTATTGCACAGTCATGTGATATTGTGAGATGTCACCCTGAGTGTGAGTTGTGAATAACTCTCAGCCACTACTACCTGTACATTAAATTTCAGCTCAGTATCTGTAAAATATACTGAGTTGTAGCCATTTAGTGCTGGAAAATATTAGTCAGCTGTGGTGGTCATTTTAAACTGAAGTGACTTTAAAAGTAAATTACGGTAGTTGTGGATCATCACATGCATGTGATAATTTCAAGAAAGTTTTATCCAATTCCAACCAGTTATTCGTGAGATATTTTGCTAACAGACAGACAATGTTGATTCTGAATAGTTAATGGAAATATTGTAACTACAATCTGAACGATCCGTTAGCACTCAGAATATGTGCTGCGGATTAGACTCAACTACTACCACAACAAATTTCAAGTCAATATGTGTAAAATTGGCTGAGTTAGAGACAGATTTGTACAGTAGTCCTTCGTTTATCGCGATGGATCCGTACCTTGAAGCGCTGCGATAAGTGGAAAACCGCGAAGTAGGAATAGTAGTACTAGTAGTTCATTTTAGTATATGAGGTGTTTTAAACTCTTCCCACTCTCTTGCAATATTCTAAACAATGTTTCTAAACTCTAAACTCTGTAAAAGAGCACAGCATGTCATGATTTCAGCTCCCTGCCTCCTGCTGCGCTCTCGGCCACGCCCACTTCCCCGCTCTGCACAGAGATCAACTGCAGGAGGAAGTTTCTCCCACAGCTGTGGGCTGCACACAGGCGCTAAATCATTTAAAATAATTTATTTTAAATAAAAATTCCATGCCGATCGTGCGACTCATCCATCAATCAACCAATTGTGTGTCATGTCCAATTTTACTTTGAAAAGCCTCGACAGAGCGAGTTTGCGAAAAGCAAACGCCAAAGTAGCGAGGGTTTACTGTATTTTGTGAGGTGCCCCAGCGTGGAGCAAATGAGGATGGAGGCAGGTGTGAGTGCTTCACCCTTCCCACTTACATTTTGATGTTCTTGGTACGGAGAGTTGAGCCAGCGATGCTCCAATCACAGGCCCACCTTCTCTGGCCTCTGCGCCACCACTCCCCATATATATATAAATATAAATTAATTTCTGCAAGTTTTAGAAAAAAATGTCCTCTTTTTAACCCTCAAACACACAAACATTATCGTTCCAGCTTTGTCTTTTGGCAGCGTGAATTAAATATTATTCAAGTGATCATCTGCACCCTTACGTTGATTAAGATGAAGAAGAGAACAATTACCATCATCTGTTGAGAGGTAGAAAGCCCAAGTAGCTGAAGGCCAGTGTGTAATCTTTAAATGCCAGTACCATCTTGTTATCCAGTCTGCGTGCCTTAGTTTGTTGTTTTTATTTATTTGTTCCCCGGCTAGTTTAAAGTCACCTCACATCAGCTTTCTTCCTGCTGACACGTACACCCTGTGAATACAAACCTAATGTAAATCCCACTGCTCTTCCTACCCAGGGGGGCGGGGGGGAAAAAAAATCTGAAATCAAACTCTGCCTCTTTCATCACCCCAACTCTCATCTCCTGAGTGTGAAATTGCCAAAGCGTTTGGGCGCTGCTGGCGTGGGTTTGTGGGAGTTTTCACAGCATTAAGTTTTCTCCATGAACGCCTTTAGGAGGACGAGCTGAGAGGAGGATTTGTGTAGGACAGAGGAGGCCCACATAGAGGAGAAAACCCTCTTGACAATCAGAGGGGGATGATTTTTGGGGACAAAATAAGTGTAGAAAAGCATAACCTGCATTTCCTATGAAAATGTGGTGTGAATGATTATTGCTGAAGAACAGCTGAAATTAGCTAAAAAAACAAACAAACATGCTGAATTGAAGCCTAATTGAAAGAACAATCCTCAACTAGCAGAAGAAAGCAGAAAGAACACATTGCTGCTGAATTAGGTATAAATTAGTAGAAATGAGCACAAAAATGAAGAAATTAGCTAAAAAAAGCTGAAATTAGCAAAAAATAAAATGGCTGAAAAGGCAGAAAGAAGCTTAAACTATCTGAAGGAAGCAAAAGAGCAGAAATTAGATAAAAATGTGGCATTAGCTGAAAACGCTAAAATTAGCATAAACGGCTAAATAGTATCTGAAATTAGCAGAAAAAGCTTAATTTAGCAGAAGAAAGCAGAAAAAACATGTTTGCCCAGTTAGGCTGAAAGAACCAGAAATGAGCTCAAAAAGTGTAAGTTGTATGAAAACAGCTGAAATTAGCAAAAAACAGCTGAAAAGTAGCTAAACAACTAATGAAGCTTCAGTTAGCAGAAGGAAGTGGAGAGCACATTTTTGCTGAATTAGGCAGAAAAAAGTTTAAATGAGTGCAAAAAAGAGGAATTAGCTGAACAAGCTAAAATTAGCATAAAACAGCTAAATAGCTGAAATAGCAGAAAAAACTGAAACTTGCAGGAATAAGCTGAAAGGAGCAAAACAAGCTGAAATTAGCAGAAAAAAGTTGGAAGAAGCACACAAATGTTGTAGTTAGCAGAAAAAATCTGAAAGGAGTACAAAACAGCTGAAAAAACAGCTGAAAGTATAGTAGCTGAAAAAAGTTTGAATTTGCAGAAGGAAGCTGAAGCAGAACAAAATGTGAAAGGAGCAGTAAAAGGTTGTAAACAGATGTAAAGATATGAAGGATGTAAAATGAGCTCAATTCATTTTCTATGAGAAATAAAATGACAGAAAAGGTTAAATATTTCAAAAAGCTAAAGTTGCACCAATACCAAAAGCCATAGCAGAGTTTCCCTGAAAGACGTGAACGTTTTGGTTCATGATTTGTTGAAATAGCTTCAAAACTGTGTGACGAGAATGTCAATGAAAAATGTACGTAAGAAAAATGGATCACAATAATGTGACTGCTTCATAAACATGACACTATGAGCCTTTTCCAACTTTCTCCTCTGTTCCAGTTTTTTCTTGTTGCCAGCCTTTTTAAGCCCACGTGCCGTAACGTGTCCAGAGTGACCTCTGCAGAAAATTTGGCCCAGTAACCGTAATGCGGCCCCAGCGGCGGCGTACGCCTGCAGGGAGTGTCAGAGACAATGTCCAACCACACAGAGCAGAGAGCGGACAGGCAGTCTGCATGTGCCGGAGGCAAATACACAAGAGGGGATTGGAGAGGCATTTCTGCCAAGAGGATTAGGAACCAGCTGCTGGGTAGATACAGATGTGTAGCACTTTCTGGCTCTCCACACTGCACCCCCCTCAGTGAAAGCCTCTGTTCTTTTTTGCTCTTGTTTTACGATTTTCTTTCTCTTCGTGCAGTCCCTTCCTCTCACGCTCTCTTCTTTGACATTTCCTTAATGCATGTCTGCGGTTGTCACAGGGATTTGGCTTTGTCGGTCGCAGCATGCTCTACTCTATTAATCCATTTTAGAGGTTTTTGGAATTCATCATTCTGCCCCTCTGTTTGCTCGTGGCCTAAAAAGGACGCAGAGCGAGCAGGCAGGGAGAGGTTTCCATCTTGAAATGTGACACCAGAAAAAGTGCTGAAGCTAAATGTGATGAGAAAATGCTTTTTTTTTTGGCCGTGATGGTGGAAAAAAAAAAAAAGATGTGACATAATTTGATGATCTACAAATCTTTTTGCAGGTACATGTTGACTCATTGAGTTTATTCATGACTTTTGCAGGAGTAGACCTGTCATGATAAACAATAAATCAATTAATCGCATGATAAATGAAAATGATCAACCTCATTTTGATTTATCAGCTTTATTGTTTCTTCATGTCTCTCTTTCTACTGAAGACACTGGATGAAAAGGCTCAACTCTGGTGTTCTTCACTGACCCCTCCCTTTCTCTTTTCTCTTTAAAATTTGTTTTAATCATCAAAAATTGTGTTTTTGGATCGTTAAAAGCAGCTAAGCTGAAAAGCTAAGCTACGAGCTAAGCTAACAGGCCGACCTCGGAAAAAACCTTCGTCTTGTCGAAAATTCACAGTTGAAACCCGTGCCTTCATGTATAAAGTTGGGGGGTTTTTTTACAAAAAGAAGCTGAGAACTTGTTTACTGTTTTTTTCATTAAAAGCGTTGTGTGACAAACGCTATGCTAAAGAGTTCAAACCACACCGAGCGGCAAACATTCTGAGAACCATTGAAAAGGAGGGAGAGACAGCCCACGTCACGTCAAGGGGCCTCCCTCCCATTTTTCTTAGAGATGCGCTGCTCGCTCCCTCACTATCCATCCTTCGCTTCAGTCTTATACTGCCATCCGGTGGTCGAAAAAAGGAACTACACTCTAAATAAATTAACCAACATTTCTTCTTCAATTTGACAATAATTACTAATTATTGTCAAATTTCAAACAATATTATCGTTTATTGCAATAATTTCTGAGACAATTAATCGCCCAGCAAAATTTGTTATCGTGACAGACCTATGCAGGAGTACATATTTATTTTCATTGACCATGATTAATTTGAATGCATTTCAAGGATAAAGTAAACTTTTTTTATTTAGTTTGTTTTGTCCTTTTCCCCTTCATTCATTACCAGGTCAAGAAGAGAAACCAGAATGGATGGAGGAGGTGGTCATAAATCTGGGAGGTAAGATTTGGAAAACCCTAAATTAATAATACCTTCATAAATTACATTGGGGAATTACGTCTTTGGGACACTTTCCCCCTCCACAGCCCAATTTACAAACGAAGCCCAGACCTGACGAAATCTCCGGTGACCAAATCTGAGCAGCTCCTGAGGATAGATGACCACGATTTCACCATGAGGCCGGCGTTCGGAGGTTAGAAACACTAATAATGCTGTTCATCTGTCAGCTGTCAACCAAAAGATTGGAAACCTCCACTACGGAGTGCAGCAGGGTCAGTTCTGGACAGTGGTCTCTGGTTTGGACCCACATAAGCTCTCAGAGACCCTGCTGACGCAAGCTGAGCTGGAGTTCCCACATGATCACAAGAGGGTTAATACACAACTTCTGCTTCTGTTTATATTAAAGGGACTGATTGACAGCTTTTTGCAACTTGATGATTATCCCAAGATAAATGCACATAAGAAGACACGATTTATATCTTTTAGCTGTTTTTATCCAGTGCTGTGTCATTATCTGAGGCGAATGGTCACAAAAACAGGAGCTTTATTTAGCAGGAACAAATCAGCCGTGACCTCTTTGCAACACGTGCCGTTTTTAATCAGACCACTTTTAATCACACAGCAACCTGCTGATAAAAACACATCAAGCAACCCTTGTTACAGAATCCGCTGGCGGTGTCCGATTTCAACCATAAAGTGGAAAAAAGAGCTGGGTTTTATCCAACATTGCATCAGCTTTTTATCCATTGTTATGACCTGATTGTATTTGTTTCAGTATGACGATGCAGAGCAGAGGGACTTAAATAGGTCAAAAGAAGAATGAAAGCCCGTCTGTCACAGTTGTGACATGAGCAAGTGCTCTATTTTTGCATCACAAACAATAAAAGGTTCAGTGTCTTTAAAGGTCTTGTCGACTGTTCAGCCCTCACGGTCAACTAAAAGAGATCTTTCATGCAGAAAATGATCATTTCAATAGATGTACATTTCTGACATGAGACTATTTTTTCAGGTCCTCCGATACCTGTTGGAGTAGATGTTCAAGTTGAAAGTATTGACACCATCTCTGAGGTGGATATGGTGAGTATTAAAGAGCTTTGAGGGTCATTTTATAAAAGAAGTCAAGTCAAGTTTATTTATAAAGCTCATTTAAAACATCAGTTGTGTTACCAAAGTGCAGGCAGTAAAAATTAGCAAAATGTAATTACAAGCATCAAAAATAAGAACATAAAAACACAAGAAACAATAAGAAACAACAAAATAGTAAGTCAAATCACACTGTGTTAAACATCAGCGAATACAGGAGTGTTTTTAGAGAGATTTAAAAACAGGAAGTGAAGGGGTCTGTCTAATGTTGGGGGGCAGATTGTTTCAAAGTTTAGGGCCAATTACTGAAAAAGCCCTATCTCCTCTGAGCTTCAGCTTGGTTTTTGGCACAATCAAAAGCAGCTGGTCAGATGATCTCAGCGCCCGAGAAGGAACATATGGTTGAAGTAGGTCAGAGAGGTTTGAGGGTGCAAGGCCATTAATGCACTTACAGGTCAACAAGAGAATTTTAAAATCAATTCTGATATATACAGGGAGCCAGTGAAGGGAGGACAGAACCAGTGAAATATGTTCAAAACTATGAGTTTCAGTGAAGACGAGCTGCAGACCTGAAAGGGTCTAGTCGGGTTGTAACAAACACATGGACTGTTTTTCAAGGTCAGATCGGTGAGCACGGACTTAAGTTTAGCTCTCTGCCTTAACTGGAAGAAGCTTTTTTTGTAGAACAACGTTAATTTGTTTATTAAACTTAAAGTCAGAGTCCAAAACCATTCCAAGATTCGTAACAGACTGCTGAAGAGAGTCAAGAGATAGCAATACAGCTAGGGCTACACACAATGAATTCAGTTTTCTGATCATTAAAACTTAAAAAATTTGAAGCCGTCCATGCCTTAATGCCATCAAGCCTTTTTAACAGTGTGAATGGAGCAAGAACTGTTGGGTTTTAAGGGCAGATAAATCTGACAATCATCAGCATAACAATGAAAAGAAAGGCCATGTTTCCTCTGGATAGACCCCAAGGGGAGCAGATAGAGTGAAAACAAAAGGGGTCCAAGAATCGGGCCTTGTGGGACCTCACAGGAAAGAGGCACTGACGCGGATACACTATTTCCAATCTTAACACAGAAACTCCTGTCACATAGGTTTGAATGGAACCATTCTAATGCTGTACTTGTACTCCCAACCCAGTGTTCTAACCTTGATATAAGATACTGTGGTCAACAGTATCAAATGTAGCAGTAAGGTCCAGGAGTAAAAGTACCACAAAAGAAACCTCTTGTAATAAGGTTGCACATTGGGGCAAAATTACAAGTACTTTACAGTCATTGTTCAATATTCAGGCAGCACGGTGGCACAACTGGTAGAGCTGCCGCCTCTTCGCGAGCAGGTCGCCCTGGTTCAAATCCCGGTCCGGGGGCCTTTTCTGGGTGACGTTTGCATGTTCTCTCCGTGCATGTGTGGGTTTTCTCCAGGTACTCCAGTTTCCTCCCACAGACATAAAACATGCATGTGAGGCTGAATGGTGACTCTAAATTGTCTCTAGGTGTGAGTGAGAGAGTGAACTGTTGTTTTGTCCCTGTGATGGACTGGAGACCTGTCCAGGTTTTCTCCCACCTCTCCCACAGTGATGGCTGGATAAGGGGGGACAGTGACACCCGTGACCCATAAAGGAAGTAGCGGGTAAAGATAATGGATGGATGGGTTTCAATGGTCGTCCTGTGCCTTGTCACTCACTTCTGAGCATTTGTCATTTTCTTCTCCTTAATTCAGAAGCTGTTCTACTATTAGTAAATATTTGCTTATGTGAATCACCGTGAGGTGAACAAATATTCAGGGTTTTCTTCTCTGAATGAGCCACATTTTTCAATTAAGACCAAAGAGAGTTTTAGAGATCTCTAACAAACTTTAGATTTTACTTCTGCTTTAGGCTGTTTCATGTTAGCTGCTCTTAAAATGGTTTTTGAAGGTCAGATATTTTCTCTTTAGAAGTAGTTATTTTATTTAGGTATGTGTGTGCTTTCAGATTTGAACCTTCTCAGATGCCATGACAAAAAGCTCAACACTTGAGTTAAATTACCCTGTTTTTGTCCTCTTGTGTGGTGTGGTTGGACCCATGTGCAGACAGGACACGGGAACTCAAGACTAAGATAAAGAGTATTTATTAAATATAACAAAAATGGCTGATGTGGCAGCAAAATTTACATAAATAATGAGAATACACGGAGGAGCCAGGAGTATGATGCCGTGCAGCATAATCCATGGACAAGGAAACAATAACAAAAACCCAGAATATATAGAGACACTAATGAGGGGATAAACACAAACACCTGGGGAAGGACAACAGGTGGCAGAGGAGGAGCTGATTACATGAGGGAGCAACACTGAGGAGGGCAGGACAGATGACACAAGGATCACAAAACACACAGATCCTCTCAATTTTGAGAGAAAATGCACATTTAAACAGAAATAAAGTCTAAAAACCTCATGAAATTGTATCTGGTTGCTCCTTTTTCCTTCTTCTCTTGGTGAACTGGGACCCTGTGTACATAATTTTGCTCCACCACATGTATCACATGAGGTGCGAATGACAATAAAGAATCTCTGACTCTGACTCTGAACATCTCATGGTTTCCATGCAACCTTTTATAAAGGACTAAATTTAAACTCATGTTTAAAAGTTATAGAATCAATTCTTTAAAGTTTGATTTGTGTGTTCAGACTTACACTTGCATATCTCAGTGCGCTTCATTTGAACTGTCACGGTAGTTTTCTACTGGAACGCTTCCCAGTTGTAAATTCAGTTTTTCCTTTGTCTCAGCATCATTTTAAATTAATTAAAGAACATTTTGTAGCACATTCATCCAGTAGAGATCTATGTCTGCAGGACTTCACCATGACGCTGTATTTACGTCACTACTGGAAGGACGAGCGGCTGTCGTTTCCGAGCACCACCAACCAGAGCATGACCTTTGACAGCCGCCTGGTGAAGAAAATATGGGTTCCTGACATGTTCTTTGTCCACTCCAAGCGCTCGTTCATCCACGACACCACCACGGACAACGTCATGTTGAGAGTTTACCCTGATGGCAACGTTCTCTACAGTCTCCGGTGAACACAGCAGGACGTGTTCAGGAAGAACCACCAGCCCGAGAGGCTCTGGGTCTTTGTAATCCTTTGTGGGCAGTTGAGGATTTAATAGTCTGATCAAACTTATTTTTAACATTTTAATGCAAAACAATGAGAGAAGGCTTAAAAAGGTCAAATAGGTTGAAAAGGTTTTAAATTCACAGCAAGCAGGACAACGTTTTATTGTTGATCATTACACATGTAGCTTTTTAGTTTTTATTTGTGTCTTTTTATTCCAACATGCATTTTACAAGTAATCAGAGTTCATATCAGCAGCATGGCATAAAGACACTTGATAAATAATAATTGTTCTTGTCGTTGTCACATTATACTGAATCTGTCTCGGTGTCTTTTTCCTGCAGAGTCACAGTCACTGCAATGTGCAACATGGACCTCAGCCGCTTCCCTCTGGACACCCAAACCTGCTCCCTGGAGATTGAGAGCTGTGAGTACATTTATCAAAGGTGGACAAACACCCAAAGCTTTCTGGGTCTTTTTTCCTTCCAGGGAGCTAAAAGATTATTTATACCACTGGGCTTTTTCAGTTTCACTGATTTAGGGTAGATTTTGAGAATAACATCAAAAGTTCCTGGTGCAAGCTCAATAATTCAGGTGTATAAATCTAACAAGGTTAAGTCAGGTCCTCTGGATGGATTCTTCTTGTTGATAGGTTTCATCTTTTATCCAAAAGACTTCTTGAGTCTGAGGAGCTACAATAAACTCAGTCTTATAAATAGCACCTTCTCATGGATCAACCAGTTTGTTAACATCCAGAACGAGTTGTTCATGTGTAAAAGGAGGACCATCAGCCTAACAACTGATCGTTAGTGCTCTGATTTTTGCTTTGTGTGTTACCTGTTGTTCTGTCTGTACAGCACTTTGGTTGGCCTTGTCGCTGTTTTAAGTGCTCTATAAATAAAATGGTATGGTATGATGGCTGCTTGCTTTTCACAGAGGGATGAGTGATACTACCAATAACAGCATTGTAAGAGTGGGACAGTTGAACACGGAGGCCTCCGCCCCTGTTTAATGATGGACAGGTTCTCTTCTCAAAGATGGCCTCCTTCACTCTCAAACCATCGTTCCTCTCTATCAAGGATGTGAACATCTTCATCCCTGAAAGAGTGACCGCTGGCCTGGAGATGAGTGTAGACCGCAGAGTCCTGGCCTGATGTTGCTCTTCTGTGCTGGGCCATCCTTTTGGCCAGTGGCTGTCTAATTTCCCCGATGTAGAACAGTGAACAACATACACGGTATTACTCTGTTTGTGCCGGGGGACTGGATCTTTGGGATGAACCAGTCTTTGCCGTAATGTATTTTAGGGTTTGAAAGCCACTGGGACGTTATGTTTAGAAAATAAACGTCTCAGTTTCTCTTAAACTCCCGCAACATATGGAATGACCACTGGTCTGGGTCTGGGTTCCTTCTTTTCACGTGATGGCTGACTGGAGTCCTGTTTTGGTCTCTTCTCTGATTTCAGGAAGGCCCATTTAGGAGTGTTAGTTATGTGTGTGTTTGTATGTAGTACTGTATTAGCAAAATATCTCTTGAGCCAGTGGATGGATTGGATTAAATTTTCAGAGTAATCCCTGGATTTACATGTACAAATGAATAACTCTTGGAGTTAACCTGATTTAAGTTGGCCACCACCCTTAGTAAACACAAAATTGTTATAAATCAGTCAGTTTTGTAGAAGTTGAGCTAAATTTTGGTGTGGTAATATTTAAGTCATCCCTCACATATACATCAGGTGCTAATAGATCAAATAAATTTCATTCAACCTTTTTTTATACAGGTTAATCCTGTATAAAAAAAAAATCTTGCAACATTGCACAAAATCACACATAATATTATTTACAGGGTGTGGCCAAAAGGCTTTAACTCTGTCCTATATCTATATATCTGTCCTACATTTTTCTGCTTGCTCTCAGCGAAAGGCAGATGCTTCCTCCTCCACTCCATCCCTGCTTTGCTCTTTGTCTTGTGAACCTTTTTCAGCTGGTCTCTCAACACAATTGATAAAATTTTCTCAACAGAAGACAGGATGAAGGAGAGCCCTCTTACCTTGGAAACATAATTGGATCTATGATAATGGATTCTGCTTTTTGGAGTTGGTGGAAATCTAGATTATTGACAAATTTGGAAACGTCAGCAGCTGTTTAAGCTGTCTGGAATGTATGTGTTGGGCTTGGCAACACTCAGACTCTGTGCAAACTATCTGTGGACCTGTATCAGAGCTGAGCAGGCAGGACTGTGGAATTTCTGGCAGTGTTCATGGACGGTTAGAAGGAATAGATCTTTGAGAAGTTGTAAGCCCGACTTCAGAGTAAGTAATCACAATTCAGGTGTTTGGAGTCGTCATGAGATGTACTAGCCGAGACTGTAAAGGCAGACACAGAAATTAACGAGCTCAGACTGACCCAAAACAGTGTTGAAATCTGAATCTGGCTCTGACCTTGGAAGGCTGACTATCTCAATTTCTCCTTGGCTGGTATGGAAACAAAATGCTCTGCTCCCCTCCCCACCCTGTCCCCTCCCCAAGGACGTGGACCTGTGTCAGAGTTCAACCGAGCTGGCTGATAAACAAACACCTCTTATCAGGACTATGGCTGTGGAGGTCTCTGGACTGTGCTGTGCAACAACTTCCCCTCAAACTCGTGCCTTTGCCAGACTCTCTCATTGCCTCCCCTGGTGCAGCAACGTAGGAGATGTGAAGATGCCAAAGGGCTGCATTGCTCACCTGGTGGCCATGCTGGGACCCCCCTCCTCTTACCCACTCCACACTCATGTATTATGTCTATTAATGTTTGATTTTTCTGTGCTGAGGTAGATTTTTTGCTATCTTACACTGTGTCCTGTGTATCAAGGACACAGTGTGAGAGACTTTTTTTATACCTCCTTCCTTTCCTCATGTTTTTCACTTTCCTTATCTAATGAACAAGGTGGCGATGCTCTCTGCGGCTGCAGCCTCAGACATCTGTCTCCTCCATGTCTGTTTTCTTTTCTTGACGCATGTACTGAAATGAAATTTCCCTTTGGGATCAATAAAGTATATTGATTGATTGATTGATTGATCATGAGACAATCTTGGTTCAAAGCTCTTGCATGAAATGCAATGAGTGATATGCACTCCTGCAAAGAATGTTGGACCTTTCATTGTAAACGTAACCTTTCCAAAAATATGAGCAAAATTTTGTGGTTTGATTTACACAAAAACATCACAGTGGAGTTTAAAAAAACAACACAAGCTAGGCTGGTTTAAAAGAACACACACACACACAAAGCAAGTTGTTTGAAAATTACAGTTTCTGTGTAAAATGAAAAAAGAAAACTGAATTAAAAACAGAAAAAAAAACAAAAAAAACAAAGCAGAGGCTCAGATGAAAGACAAACACACACAATTAGACAAGAAAATGTCAGCTAATCACACAAAAGAACAAGCATACTAAGAGAAGATGTGTTTGTTTAATTGGGCTTTAGGAGTTGTACAAGTCTTTTTTTAATTCTGGTCAGATTTTTGCAAAAATATATTTTTTTTTCAAATCACAAACTTTCAATTACAGATTTCCTCTGATGTGAAGCAGCAGAAATTGCCACTGATCAAACTCTTTTTAGACGATAAACTCGTGTGTTTCTGTATATTTCTTATGCAACCGTCATACTGCTTTTACACAAAAATATTAAAGTTCCACTTTGGAGTCTCTGCGTGAGCTTTCTGTTCACGCTTTGCTGAGACTAACATGTCAGACATTTCATAAGAATCACAGAGAAATCACGCTTTTAAAAATTCAAGGCTCCTTCCGGCTTCAAAGTGCTCATGCTGCTTTAATTTTCAACCTTTTTTCATTTAGCTTTTCGTCATTATAAGCTCTACAGTGTGTAAATATTGCAGTCTCTGGGGACAGCTGGGGTTTAATTTGTCATTTTGCTCGCATGATCATGCAGCAGCTTTGTTTGTACTTAATCTGCCCTGGTTCTGTTTGTTAAATTCACATATTTTGCTGTCAGATGCGTACACAGATGATGACCTGATGCTGTACTGGAAAAAGGGAAATGAATCTCTCAACACAGACGACCGGATATCTCTGTCCCAGTTCCTGATCCAAAAGTTTCACACCACCACCAAGCTGGCTTTTTACAGTAGCACAGGTACTACCGCTCACACCCTGTTGGTCCAAAGTGTCTCATTTTACTTCTGTCTTTTCTTACAAAAGGATCTTCTGACAGTATCATCTGAACGTCACACCAGATGCAGCGAACTAGAGTTTAGTTCCTTGTAGAAGCAAATTGAACATAACTGTTGCCAGCCTGATTTTCATGTCACTTTTTGTGCAATCTGAAGCATAAAAAGGATTTTCTTCGTCCCTATCTTTGTCTGCCAGAGAGCTGGGACAATGCTTCACGGTTCATCAGCATACAGCATGTGACAATGTGCATGTAATGGTGATGTTTCTTCTTCCTAGGCTGGTACAATCGTTTGTACATCCACTTCACCCTGCGGCGCCACATCTTCTTCTTCCTGCTGCAGACCTATTTTCCGGCCACTCTCATGGTCATGCTGTCCTGGGTCTCCTTCTGGATTGATCGCAGGGCCGTGCCCGCCAGGGTACCACTAGGTAACTTGCTTTTTAACCTAAAACCACAAGGAAAGAAGCTCTACTAAAGGATGATTTTAAATGATTTTATACTTTGTTGACAGTTTTTACTAATAAAACGGATAAACTCCTTAATGCTATGTTCAGGCCATTTTTTATATTGAAACCCTATAAGCTAGGTCGTAACATAAATTGGGCATAAAGTTAAGAGAAATCACTCTATTATTGCATCAGTAAAAGCCAATTAGATACACTGAACATAATATTTTTTAAAGATTCATGTACATTTTAAAGAGCTAAATAATGGACTGTACTTAAATAGCATCTTTCTATCTTATCAGAGAGAGTCAGAGTCAGAGATTCTTTATTGTCATTCGCACCACATGTGGTACATGTGGTGGAGCGAAATTATGTACACAGGGTCCCAGATCCCAGATCAAGATACTCAAAGTGCTTTAAACTACAATCTGTGCCCTCATTTACCCATTCATACAGCACTCTACTAGATCTATTAGGGATGCACGATATTATCGGCATGGTATAGGGTATTGGCCAATATTAGTGATAAAGTTAAATATCGGACATCAGCATTATCGGCACATTGGTATCGGCCGATATTAGCAATAAAGTTAAATATCAGACATCGGCATTATCGGTATTGGCCAATATTAGCGTAAATGTCATGAATAAATATGACATTAAACATAATCCAAGTTGAAGTGTTACATCATTTTCAGCCCACTTTTTGGCATCTTCATGTGGTAGCAGACCAAACTGACAAAGACAATGCAGACTAATGTAGTATTTAAATTCCACAGCAGAGAAATCTATATAATCTCTGTAAGTAGGTCTAGGAAAAAAAATCGGTATTGGTTATCGGCCAAATAAGTTTTAACATATCAGCATATCGTATATCGGCCAAAAGTGGGGGGAGTGGTGGCGCAGAGGCTAGAGAAGGTGGGCCTGTGATCGGAAGATCGTCGGTTCACGCCCCGGTACCGACAACAATGTGGGTGGAGTAGGCGAAGCACCCACACTTGACCCTACCTTCAGTCACTCCACTCTGGGCCCATGAGCAAGGCCCTTAACCCCCATCTGCTCCCTAAACAGGTCTCTCTTGAAAATGAGTTCTCGTGGCTCAATGAGACTTCCTGTATAAATAAAGGTTAAATGAAAAAATCCAATATCATGCATCCCTAATATCTATACAAAGATTAATCAGTGTTTTATCACATTCATACACCGATGGGACACATATCAGAGGCAATGAGGGGTTCAGTGTCTTGCCCAGGGGCACTTCGGCATTTGACTGCTGGTGGAATCGAACCCCCAGTTCTTGCACTGGAGGACGACTGCTTTAACCACTCAGCCACAGCCGCCCTAATAATGTAAATTTACAATCACAAACAGCACAGCTGAATGAAAAGCCATTTTTTGGTTTTAGGGGAAAATAATACTTGAGTCCTGACATCAGGAAACTTGTTCCACCTCAGCAGATTGGGGAAATCACTGAACTGTTTAAAGTGCTTGAAAAAAGCACTCGAGTTTGCAAACTTTGCTCTCCTTGAGCCATTTCTGACTTCACTTTGTCCTGGTTTAAAGCACAGTAACCTTGGCTTCTAATGGATTTGATAATAAACATTTTCTGGTTCGAGGCTCATTAGTTACAAAAGACGGTTCAATTAAAAAGATTAAAAAGAAGAAAAAAAAACAACTGGACTTTTATTCTGAAGCTGAAGACGTTTCTCTTCCCATCTGGGAGGGTTAGGGTCAATCACTGACAGCAACATTTGCTGATTTATTTATTTAGGTCTTTGTTCAGTGAACATCAGGGTCTATGTGGAGTTTAATCAGAAGGAAGATGGACCCTTTAAGGCCTCTAAAAGAAACAAAACAAAGTATTTCTCAAATCTATTATTTGTTTACCTTGAAGCCAGTTAAGAGATTTTACCAGCACTTCATTATTCATGTTTTGCTGCCATGTCAGCCCTTTGTTTTCATTTATTTAACAAATTCATTTGCATTTTACCTCAGCCTGTGTGTCTGCCTACACCTGGGTCCAACCCTGTATGACTGTGATAAAGTGAAATATTTCAAACCTTTATCTTTTGTAATTTTGATGATCATGTCTTACAAATAATGAAAAAAACAAATTCAGTGTCTCAGAAATTTTGAATATTCCACAGCCAGCTTCTGGTACCATTGTCAGTGTGGGCAGGAGCCAAGTCCTGCTGGAAAACGAAACCAGCATCTCCATAAAGCTGGTCAGCAGAAGGAAGCATGAAGTCTCTAAATGAACTGCTAGATGCTGAAAACTCAGTGGACCAGCACCAGCAGAGGACATGGACCCAAACCATCACTGACTGTGGAAACTTCACTCTGGACTTCAGCAATGTGGATTCTGGACATCTCCTCTCTTCCTCCAGACTCTGACACCTTGATTATAAACGACATGAACATTTACTTTCATCTGAAAAGAGGACGTTGAACCACTGAGAGACAATCCAGTTCTTGTTGTCCTCAGCAGGTAAGACGCTTCTGACTGTCTCTGGTTCTGTTCGGGAGTGACTGGGCTCGAGGAAGGAGACATTTGTAGCTCATGTCCAGGAGTTAATCAGCTGCTGTGACACCAGGAGTTCACAATATTAAACCTCTTTACAATATTCTAATTTTCTGAGACACTGAATTTTTTTTTTCATTATCTGTGAGCCATAATCATAAAAATTACAAGAAATAAAGGCTTGAAATATTTCACTCCATGTGTAATCTATACAATATATGAGTTACACTTTCTGAAATTATTGACAAAAACGTTAAACTTTTTTGTGATGTTCTAATTAATTCAGGTGTGTGTAATTAACTGTTACAGAAAATGGCTTCACTGTTTTCACAGCTTGTATGATCGGTACCAGTGAAGGTGTGGATTTTAGATGAACCTGTTGTGGCTTCAGACAGATCCCCTTTCTGAATATGCTGGTTTTTCACCAGTTTTCACCAACTACTCCTCAACATTGTTTAGTTTCCACTTTATGCCCATTGAGCTGTGTTGTAACATAAAGTTAGGCGCTGGTCCAGGATCTGAAAGTTGCCTCCACTTACGTTAGTTACATCAGTGCACTCAGACTGATGGAGCACTGTTGGACCAGTGAGAATACAGAGGGGCATCACAGTTCTTTAAAAAATGTTTAGGGTCAACGAACGTCTGCAAAAGTCTTTATTCCCTACACAAAATGGCTTCACTGCTAATGGTTATTTTATGATTAATGAGACAGAATGGAAACTGTTATTTATAAAAAGTAAATGAATAAAAATAAAACACTTGTCCTGATGATAGATCAGTTGTAGTGGTTTGAGCCAGCCACCTTTCTGAGCATTTCCTTTGTTTGAAATTTTTTTTAAACCTTTATTTTATCATCGCATCTATTATGCGTCACCGCTGACCAGCAGGACATGTGGGCCGGTGTTGTGCCAGAAATCGATTGGCTGCCAAATGGTGGCCACAGGAGCGTGCACTGGAGGACTTTAATAAGAATTTAACAAGATTTACATTTAAAAACAATTATTTGTTTGCTCAACATTATAGCAAAGGTGTGTCTCAGTTGAACTTTTCCTGAATAAATGCACTTTGACGGTCAAATCAGCTGCATTTGTCCTGGGCGGCGCAGCAAAATGCAGCTGATTTGACATTTGCTCCAGTAGTTCCAGAGTGAGACAAAGGTGACTCTGTATGGCAAGCCAAGTGTCTCATTAATAGCCACTTTTACCTATTAATGACACACTTGGCTTGCCATATTACTCAACCACCCTCTAGTGGCTGAAAATGGTAGTGTTCAATATTTTCCATGCCAGAATAAATGAAATGGTCAGATCTCAGCCAACAATTGGGTTTTAAATATGGGGAAAAATAACGTATATTAGTCGCTTCGGTGTATAAGTTGCAAAAGTATGTAAAAAAAAAAAAAGTATGCAAAAAGGTGCAACTTATATTGTGGAAAAATATGGTAATCTTTTTTACAAGGATGTGCTGGGAATAAGCCTCATATGCAGAGAGATTGAATTCTATTTCTTTCAACTGTACAGCCACTCTTATATGATAAAATACTGCATCATAAGTCTAAATAAAACTCCAAGAGTGTGTTTAATGTAGTGCCTCTGTTCACCCCAACAACTTACTAGACTGTAAACACATTTCTGTGGCTGTGGGGGCAAAATAGACTTCATTTCAAGGAAGCTCAGATCTTTTGGAGCTTGCAGCAAAGTGTCACAAATGTCAGTAAGTCTGCGGTGGAAAGTGTATTGAAGCCATCTCTCAGAGCAGCAACATCACAGCCTCGAGCTCTCATCATATTAAAGGTGGTCCTGCACTCACTCGGCTCCGTGTTTCACTTTCAGCTGTCTACGAAAAGAAAGATGTTGCACAAGCTGCTCCGCTTCTGCAAATATGAGAAGTAAATTTTATTTTTAATTGGCCAATACAAAGAGAGTGAGACTCGCTGTCTTTTCTTAAGACGGACCGTTGTTTCCCAAGCAGATCAGGATGGCTAAGCAGTTTGTTTTCTCCTCTTTAGGCATCACTACGGTGCTGACCATGTCCACCATCATCACCGGAGTCAACGCCTCCATGCCCCGGGTGTCCTACATTAAAGCAGTGGACATTTACCTCTGGGTCAGCTTTGTCTTTGTCTTCCTGTCGGTGATAGAGTATGCAGCAGTGAACTACCTCTCAACCGTGCAGGAGAGGAAAGAGAGGAAGCTGCGGGAGCGAGTGAGTTAATTATGCTTTTATTTTGCTGTTTTATTCATTATCACCTCGTTAGCTGGGAGTTAAAAGCAAATTACCGTATTTCGGACTATAAGGCACTTAAAATCCTTAAATTTTCTCAAAAATCCTCAGTGAGCCTTAAAATCCATTACGCCTTATGTATTAATTCTGATTGTGCTTACTGACCTCGAACTGGTTTTATGTGGTTATTGTGAATGAGTTGAATAAAGTTTGACTTATCTGACTGTTTTGTTTTTGCTCAATGCGCCTTATAGTCTGAAAAATACAGTAGTTTTTTCTTTTGAATTCATAGAGATAAAATACACTTTTTACACATGTTGTGAAATTAGTTTACATTTGTTTTGTAAATTGTATTTTTTTGACCAGAGGTGGTTTAGGTTAAATAAAAACCGATTTAGTTTCCGTTCCTACAATTTCAAACGTTACTGTCTAATTCTTATGTTAATCTCTCAATACCAAAGGTTATTAAGAACAATTATATATTTTTTCAGTGTATGTGCTTGTTTGCTTGTTGTTAGCAAAAAAAATTTTTTTACCACTGGTTGCACATTTGGATTCAGCTCAATCCAAGATGGCCACCACACCAAAGCAATCTTAGCAACCACAAAAATGGCTATAACTCAGTCAAGTTTACAAATACTGAGCTAAAATTTACATGGGAGTAGCTTAAAGCTATCTGCAGCTTATACTCCGAGCACACACAAAATGTATGTTTAAAACTTTGCCATTGACTCGGTCTGTTAGCAGCTGCCGTAGAAAAATGGATGAATAAATAATCAGGTGTAACCTTTAATTTGTTGGCAAATGAGAGAAGTCAGCTTGACAGAAAGACTAAACATCAGTTTTAGTCTGCTCGTTCTACTGCCTTCAGTTCTCAGCTGTCTGCTTTACCAAGTTACATCAAAGTGCAAGTTATTTATAAAGCACACTGAAAACAGCAGCTGTTACCAAAGTGCTTAGTCGGCACAAGCATCCATTGTTTAAATAGTAAAACAATTATTAGAAGGGTGATAAATATTTCTGCTGACCTCTAACTGACTCTACAGATTGCTCCAACCTACATAGATTGTCACAGATGGACTATTATCACACGACATAATGTTCAGTTTCACAGTGAAACAGAGGTAAATAAGGAATTATGAAGTGTACAGGAAAATAATGTACAATACATAAATGTTGCATTGTACCAGGAAGCAGCTCAATAAATTTACAGTAGTCTCTCACTACTTCATTGTTAGTTTTTCGCGGTTTTTCAAAATAA